TGAGTTAAGATTGGCACTTGTACTCTCAACCAATACTTTTGTTAGACAACAACGACAACAAAAAAGGGCTGAGATGTGCTATAATCCAATATTTCATTTTTAATTGAGAATCATCCTAACCTCATATTTTTTCACTTACACATATGCTTAATCACTCATAAATAACAAACAAGTGTAAACTAAAACTTTCTATGAATCGAGTTTAAAACCAATCTTTTTATCGAAACCATCCTTGTGATCGATTACCATTCATATGAATTTAGATTCTCTCCATTACAATTTTATTCAATAACAAATCACTCATTAGTAGATCACTACTCAATTGGAACTCATTATGTGAATCTCTTATTTTTACATCCACTCACCTGCCACTGTCATTGAAATTCACCCACGATTTACTTTGGTTGTTTCAGAGAGACTTCAAATCTCACGTTTAATGGTAGTCCTGTTCATCGACTCTTAGAGGATTAAAGTAAGTATGATTTTTTGAGGATTCAGTGATAACTTTTTTTATTCAAATTTCTTTTTCTTTTTCTTTGTATAACATTCTATTGATTACTAGCTGTGTTAGGGTTTGAAAACCCACATTATGGGTTTGTTTTACTTGTTGGATTTCTATTGTCACTAGATTGCTTTTAGACTAGAGCAATGTGTGTTAGCTTGGAAAGAGTGAAATTTTAGGTTGCAAAATTTCCAATTTATTTGTGTTATGTTATGGATTGGTTTTCAAGCTGATTAATGTGGGTCTACTTAATTATCTAATCTCATGTCATGGATTCATTTAAAGTTGATTGGTGTGGGATTGTTTAGATTAGTTTAATGGTTGGAACGATTGTATGTTCACTTTTCTCTTTGAATGGTTTGTTCGCTTTTCTCTTTGGGTGGTTTGTTCGTTTTTTTCTTTCTACTAAATGTGCTTCAAAAATATAATAATGAGAAGTATTGCAAATTGCCAATTGCATTTTATACGTTACATCATACTCCTTTTATTATTGATTGTGACTATTTGCATCCTATACATGTAAGTGTTCACAATGCAGAAGTATGTGTATGTCTAAATTTTTCGGTGTTAATTTTTTACGTTGTTTAAAAATGATTCATGTGATGCACGATGAGCAATGTTAATTGAACATTACCTAAGTTGGTGCATAGAACTCACATAAAATTATTTTAGAGCTATTAAAGCAGCTTTGCCCAGCCCCATATCCCAACATCAAACAAATTATTTTGGTATATAAATGTGTTGTGTTATCAATTGGGGGGACTTATCATTACTAAGATTAGGTTTTTATTATTTTTTTTGAATCTTTAAATAATTGTGTTTTCATACTCATTAATTTTATTGTGGTCTTTATATATTTGGTGTCGATTGTCATCCAATTCTTTATCTTTCTTGAAGTCGTATGTTTGTTTAAACATGACCTTGGAACATACCAATGAATTCTCTTTTTTTTTTTTTGAATGTATGAATTTTTGTGTTACGTAGAGCCGTTTAAAGTTTGTTATGTTGTTTACCATTGTTAGTCACTACTAGAAATTTGTTTAATTAGATACTTATGATAATATTTTTCATCTATTTTATTACAGACAAGTGAAGACTTAGAGAAAACTGTAAAATGAATTTATTTTCTCCTATTTTATTATTATTTCTTACTTATATAGATATCGAAGTAATTATATTTTAATTATATTTATAGGTCCAATTGCTTTAAAAAAATAGTATAAATATTGTCGTTCATGAAAAATATAATCTTAATTGCCTCTTATAGTTGAGGTATTGTCATTTCACATCTACTATTAATTTTTTTAAAAGAACAGGAAAAGACAACCGGAAGAACAACAGATGCCAGATCTGTTAAATTGCACCTCTGCCATTTGAACTATGTTAAATATGCAAGACCATTTCAAAAAGCTCATCATGTCACCTCCAAGGGGACAAATTCTAGAAACATATTTGGAAAACGCCGTCAACAAGGTGAATTTTTTTATATTTTTTTTAGTGGAGGGGGTCAAACAATAAATTATATAATCTTTAGACTCACTTGGCGAAAATTACATAATATTAAAGAATCCTTCAAATATTTACGACGTGGCCGCCCCTGCGCCGGATATCCATGACTAAAGAGCAATGTTATTGAAATTTAATTTATTGACATAATTCACTATGACATTTGTATTGTTTGTAGGTCCCATTAAATATTAGAACTTGATATTGATCTAATAATTCTTATAAAATCACATCATTATGTCAGTAAATTAGATCAAATTTTAAATTCAAATAACATTATTCATCGCTAAATCATCAGTATATACTAATGATCATCTCGTNTTTGCGGATACACATCGAATATTTTATGGACTTATCGAATAATTAATAAAATATTTATCACTATTGAATATTTATCAAATACGCGTATCTCCATTTAGTTAATGAGTTTTTATAGCTTATGTTAAAACCAATGAATTCTATTATAAAAATTGAAGACTCTTTGAAGGGAGACACATCTTCAGCTTTAAAATTGGACATAATCTTGAATTTAAAACACAATTGAGCAGTCCTATATCGGTAACAAAAATTATTTTAGTTTGAATGTATTTTATTTCTTAAACCCTCATATCTNTACTGTGACATTTGTATTGTTTGTAGGTCCCATTAAATATTAGAACTTGATATTGATGTAATAATTCTTATAAAATCACATCATTATATCAGTAAATTAGATCAAATTTTAAATTCAAATAACATTATTCATCGCTAAATCATCAGTATATACTAATGATCATCTCGTGANCACTATGACATTTGTATTGTTTGTAGGTCCCATTAAATATTAGAACTTGATATTGATCTAATAATTCTTATAAAATCACATCATTATGTCAGTAAATTAGATCAAATTTTAAGTTCAAATAACATTATTCATCGCTAAATCATCAGTATATACTAATGATCATCTCGTGANATATCGTTGTATTCGTATTGTGTTATACATATATCTCATATATGTATTCGTATTTTCTAGATAATATCGATAATTCATATGGTGAATATATGTAGGAATAACGGGTCTACTGACGTTGGGCTGATTTTGTCAAATTGTTTGTTTGATTGTTCAACAGAAGAATTAAATATAATAGAAAACTTTACTATNGAATACACAAAATTTATAATATTTCTGTATCATAACATTTGCTCTCACTCCCACCGTCACCTCTATTCCAATCTTATCGTAATATTATAAGAAAATTATTCATTAATGTGATGAATTAATATTTCAAAAAATTTAAATATAAAATAGTTAATAAATATGATAATAAATTCAAATGTGAAGTAATTATCAAAAAGAGTCAGAAATTGTTGCAGAGATCACATATTAGAATTCAGTTAAAAGAGGCCAATACATACCCTAATAAATAATTTNATGATAATAAATTCAAATGTGAAGTAATTATCAAAAAGAGTCAGAAATTGTTGCATAGATCACATATTAGAATTCAGTTAAAAGAGGCCAATACATACCCTAATAAATAATTTTAAATTAAGAAAAAATAAGATTTAAAGAGAAAAAACTTGTCAAGTTATAGTATACATACATAGGTCTTCGTTGCCTAAAACAGCTCAATTTGTTCATAAGCCTGCATTTCCCATTTTTGAGGGACTCTATGTTGCGGAACAAGATAGCACAAGCAGACAAAGTCAGAACTAACTAATGCAGCCAAAAAGCAACTGTGACCATTTTCCATATTTGTGTGTATATATATATATATATATATATATATATATATATATATATATATATTGGTTAATCCAAAATATACACAAATATAATGCATCATGATATTGTGAATAGGTAGACTTTAAAGATTTTTATCTTGAGATTTTAAATTTGAGTATTAGATATTATTAGAAAAACGTTATGACTAACTTGATGCACGTGATTTATAAGTGATTAAGGGGTTGTGCGCATATGGTGTCAATGTATAGATAAGAAAAGGAGGAAAATATGGAAATAAAGAATGGATTAAAATATATAAATCTAGAGAGATAAATTCGATAGAAATGAAGTTATAAGTAGTTGAACTTCATAGATGGAAAACTGATAAGTGATTAAATGAAGGAAAACATGCAATATTAATAAGAGACTTATACTTACTACTAATAATTACTAAAAAAAAAGGAGAGGACACTAAACTCATTCTTTCCCGTATCTTATGAAGTATGGATGTTTTGATTAGAGTAACATATTCATATCCGATACGTATTGGATACTGATACGTATTAGATACTGATACGTATTAGATATTTGCGGATACACATCGAATATTCTATGGACTTATCGAATAATTAATAAAATATTTATCACTATTAGATATTTATCAAATACGCGTTTCTCCATTTAGTTAATGAGTTTTTATAGCTTATGTTAAAACCAATGAATTCTATTATAAAAATTGAAGACTCTTTGAAGGGAGACACATCTTCAGCTTTAAAATTGGACATAATCTTGAATTTAAAACACAATTGAGCAGTCCTATATCGGTAACAAAAATTATTTTAGTTTGAATGTATTTTATTTCTTAAACCCTCATATCTCTATTATTATAATAGCATGCTAATATATATATATATATCATAACCGTACTTGTATCCTATTATTTAATATTTTAATATATCGTTGTATTCGTATTGTGTTATACATATATCTCATATATGTATTCGTATTTTCTAGATAGTATCAATTATTCATATGGTGAATATATGTTGGAATAACGGGTCCAAATAGGCTGACGTTGGGCTGATTTTCTAAAATTGTTTGTTTGATTGTTCAACAGAAGAATTAAATATAATAGAAAACTTTACTATCAAACTCATGAGCCGGCAATCTATGGGACTATGTCAAACCAGGCCTAGTATTGATCATCTACACACATATTTCTTTACTTGTTCATCTATAAATACCTGAAACACAAAAACACACACACATCAACTGTGTCTAGAGATGAATAGCAAGCAGTTGCATAGTACAAGGCCTGAACCATTAACAGTGAACAAGAAGTCCTCGAAGATCATGAAGAAGCCACCACCACCAGTACTTCTGGACCGGAGTCGGTCACCTGTCATCGTATACTTAAGGTCGCCGAAGGTCATCCATGTAAGTCCTCAAGAGTTCAAGAGTCTGGTTCAATACCTCACTGGAAATCAAGGTTCAGCTGAAGTGTCTTCTAATTGTTTTTCTTCTTCTTTGCCTTCTTCTTGTGTAATGGAAGTTGATGAAATCAGTAGTCATGAGGTCAATTAGAAAGTTCTGCTATTAGAATAACGGCCTCTCGGTGTAAAAGACTCTTGCCATTGTAGGGTATGAGAAGAGTCAAATGTATACAATATTACTCTGCATTAATTTTTTTGTTGGTCAAGTATTATTCCATGTATTGAAATAATATTTTTGTTATTAGATTGTTCTACTATTAGAATGGCTTCTGGAAATTCTGTAATTAGCTTCACGGCTGAAGGGTTTTTACTCTTATTGGCCAAAAGGTCTGTTTGTTTGGTGGGATAATGTTAGAAAATGTAAGAAAGAGAATTTATTAAAAATTTTCACGTGTTTAATTAGCATAAAATTGAAAATGATAGAAAATAAAATTTTCTTTCATGCTTCAATTTTCTCACAATTAACTTATTTTTTTTCTTATAAAAAACACAAGAAAATTGTGATTTATAACTAACTTCTCGTTTTACCATTTTTTAAAAATATTTTATTGGTTATCAATTTAAAAAAATTTTGATATAAATTTGGTTAGCCATATAATTTGCCTAGAGACCTTCGTGCTGATACTTATCTTAGAATTAGGTTAGGAGTCACTTTTTTTTAAAAAATTTTTAACTTTTAATTATAATATATATATTTTTTTCTTTAGACCGATTTAATATAATTAACGTTAATTTAGACAATTATAAACACTTTCTTGCAACTTTGATTTCTTTCAAACAATATACGCAATATTTTTTTTTAAAATTTTATCTCAAGTTTTTTCTTACTAACCAACAACCTATATGAAAATATATATGCATTTTTTTTTACTTCACTTTTTATCATTTTTGGGAATATACTGGCAACAACTTTGGTTTGGCATTAGATATAGGACGACATCAAGGATTAAATTTTTTTTAGTGCATATATTTAACCACCTTGCAAACAGAAACATTTAAGCAATATTATGAAAAATATTTCGAGAACGTGATCAAAATGAATAACAAATTTAGAAATTTTATTGTAGAACATTCAAAAACATTTGGAGAAATAAACCAGAAACAAATTTCATTCACTATTTTGTTTATCTTTTTGTAGAAATCAAAAAGTTTTAGCAATTTCGATAAAACGTACTTTGAACTTTTTTATCTGTTAGATCATTCTTTCGACTGATCTTTCTTCACTGTTTCGTTTGATAGGAAAGATGAAAAGTAGGAGGAATACGTTTTCTATCCTTCAAGGAAGAAAAATATGAATGATACACTTTTCTTCTCTTGTGTTTGGTTGGATGGATAAAAAATAAAAATAACTAATTTTTTTTTGTTGGTTAAGATTAAGGGTGACAATCGAGTCGTATCATGTCAGATTCGTGTTGAGTCATTACAGCTTTGTGTCAAATATTAGTCACACTTAACTCAACTCATTTAACTAATTGCGTCGTGTGTCGAGTTACAAGTTGACATATTTATTTTCGTGGTGTTCGTATTCGAGTTAATTAAGTTCGTGTTATAAAATTTGTGTCGAGTTCGAGTCGTGTCATTGTGTTAGTTAAAAATTTTCACCCCTAATTAAAATGGAAAAAATATTTTTTTAATTTAATTTTTTTTAAAAAAAAAAAATTATTTTAAAATATATATATATATATATATATATATATATATA